ATTGTCAACCTTTTCTTTGTAAGGCTGGAAGATGTCTATTTCTTCAGGCCAACTGTCCGACACTGGTGTGGTCTGAAACGCATCAGGTGTGCTGTCTTTATAGAAATCAGGCGGAGAAAAAATCCAGTCTGGAGCTGGAAAAGGATCGATGTCTGAAAATGAAGGCGTCTTATGAACGCCGTTGCTTTGATTTACTGCGGTAAAACTGTTCATGTTAGGAAACACATTATTCTCCACATCAGCTGTTACACTGTAGTCCTGAAATACAAGATTTTACAAGAAAATTTAGTTTACACTCTAAACTATGTTGGGTTGTTGTAACATTGGGCTCCTTTATATTAAATATTTATTACACTTTTTAATCCAATGATTGGCTTTGTTTTGCTGTTGTTTTATTCAGTAAATGATAAAACTCTGACAGCCTGACACTAGCTGTGTTTCCACATAGATATATGCACTAGATATCGCATGGGGACACTGAGCATGCGTCAATAGCGCCGCCACATTGGTACAGTGCTCCCAGGACAAATGTCATTCAACCGCACTAGTCAAGACAGTGTTATTACGTGAAGATGCAGGACTTTAGCGCTGTCTACGGGTGTAGTAACGAGCAAACAAAGAAAACAAAGCACAAAGGCAGAACATTTCATAGGTAATATTAAGTTTTTTCTGTTTTTGTATGTTCTGAACTTTTGTGCTAATCAGGTAACGTTATTGATGATAACAGTCACTTACTGCATTCACCATACAGCAAAGCAGCTCCAACTCGCACTAGACACTCGGCTTATGCTAGTTTTGTTGAATAAAATCAGCAAACAATGCAAAAGAAATATGACAACGAGATGCTGCGCTGCCAGAAACTTGTATTATTGTCTGCTTATGTTAGTGAAAGAGTCGTTCGGGGGATTCATTCACAAACGAATCGCTCCCTCCGTCAGTATGAGCAGTGAAAGCAGGAGAGGAGCTGTGTTTCAGGACATGATTAGATTTTTTTTTGTCAGGAATGTCCGTGCGGTCACTGATCCATCAATGTAGAAAAGTGATGTAAAATTAAAATTTTCGTAATTAGAAAAAAAAAAATTACATACTAACATCCAGGAAAACTCCCGATCACAGATATATGTGTATATGTGTATATCTCTGGCTTTGCATGGCCACAGTCCTCCACTGTACCTTGGTCCCGCATTCATTTCAAAGGAGCGCTACCCTGTTCCAACATGGCGGCTCTATTGACGCATTCCTTCCAGACAACAACAGGGTAGGCGACATCTAATGTATATATCTATGCTGTTTCCATCCAAGATGCGAATTAACTGAAATATCTCGAAAAAGATTGAATGAAGCAGCCAAAGAGTCAAAGCGAACAAAATTGTCTGGCGCCAAATATCTATAGTAAGAACAGAATTTGCTGTGGTAGGAGACGCTGAGTCTTTTCCTTATTTTACTTGTGCCCCAGAAGACAAATGCCGACACACAATGAACGTGTGATGGCGTTTGAAGACGCGGAGCACAGATGCTCTGGACAGTTCTGGAGGTCATTGATAAAAACACTAATACTGAGAGAGTTCAGATGTTTTAGAATGATAGAAGCAACATTGCAGATGTTCTACAGTTCAATTCAATTCAATTCAGCTTTATTTGTATAGCGCTTTTACAATGTAGATTGTGTCAAAGCCGCTTCACATAAATGGTCATAGTAACTGGAACAGTGTAGTTCAGTTTTTAGTGTTTAAGTTCAGTTCAGTTCAGTTTAGCTCAGTTCAGTGTGATTTAATCATTACTGAGAGTTCAAAGACCGAAGAGCAAATTCATTGATGCGTAGCTCTACCAATCCTGAACCATGCGAGCCAGTGGTGACAGCGGAGAGGGAAAAAAAACTTCACCTGATGGGAGTGAAGAAAAAAAAACCTTGAGAGAACCAGACTCAGTTGGGCACGACCATTTTAATTTCTCCGCTGGCCAAAAGTCTTGTGCAGAGCTACAGTGTGCTCAGTCTGCTGGTTTGTCCATTTACACAAACTTTTATCATCACAGGATCTCTTATAACAACTAATTACTTTGTTAATGCTCATACTGAGTGAATTTGTTTGTTATCATCGGAGGGTATGTGCATTGTTTCATATCGAATAAAAAGTTAATCCTACTCAGTTATGCGCATATGTTTTAATGTGCTTTTTCTGAACACATAGTAAAATTGCTAATTTCTCTGCATGTAAACGTTCTTACAAACTTTATGCATAAAAATCGGTGACACTTTAGTCTGGGTCACAATTCACTCTATTAACTTAATAAACTACTAATTAGCTGCTATTACTACTTAGTAAGATTGTATTCGGGTTTTATGTATTGGGCAGAATTAGGAATGCATGAATAAAATCCTATTGGATAACTACTAATGAATAGTTCCATCATAATAACAGGCAGAAACTATAGTGAATAGTAGGGATGTCCAGAACCAATCATGTGATCGAAAATCAGGCCCAGTCACGCAGTTTCAGACTCAATCAAAATTGGACGTTACCTCTCAATTAGGACTTGAAAATATGGGATTGAAAGAGGTAAGGTGCTCTTCTTTATTCGTTTTAAGTATTATAGAAGTATCGGATTGGTTATCAACAGATACTCAAAATCAAATGACTCAGACTTGAGGGCAAAAAAACTTGGATTGGGAGATTTCTAGTGAATAGCATGAATTTTGACGCAAGTCAGAAAGTATATAACGCTGTTCTTGAGGTTATTGGAGATTAAAATAAAACTTCATATTGTGCCTTTAATTTCTATATATAAGTTAATTGTCTATTGATACCTGTGGTTTTGAGCAGAAAGGATTCCAGGAGCTGCTGCTGATCCCATTCTAGAGGAGAGAAAAACAGCACACGAGTTCAGACTGAAGAATTCATGTGAATTAGCTAGCAGTGTGGTAAAATGTGAAGTAACTGCTATTTAGTATAGTACACTGCTAGTAGTAAGTTGACAGCTATTATAGTAAATAGTAAACTGTCATGAAACTGTTGTATCTATATGGAAAAAAATGTACATATCTAAATGAGCTGTGTGTAAAATTGACTTTAAGCTTCACTTTTAAATGCACATGAATAATTATATGATGATCTAAAACCAGAAGCTGACCTCCATCATGAAACCTGAGACGGCAAACAGTGATTCACCATCCTGACAGACACAACAAACAAGAGATTAGATCACAACATTACTCATTATTAAACACTTGAATTATTTTAACACATTTTTAAATAATAGTTTTAATAATTGATGTCCAAGAATTTCTGGCTTGTTCTGTAGACAACTGGGGGGAGATAATAAAGAAATTAAGACAAGAAACAAGACAAAAAACATCATTTTTTTGCAATGTAAACATCTATATTTGTACCTTTAAAACTGAAAGTGGGCATTAATGCAAGTCCATCCATCTGTTTTCAACTGTTTATAGTTTTACTGTTAATCTAATGCCTTTTTTTTAAATTATTGTAATGTAATTAAATTAATTTGGGTTATCTTAAGGTGTCCTTTTTAGTGTGACTATTCATTCAACTATTGTGCAATGTTAATTAACTATGTACTTATCACATGGTTAAAGTTTGAATGCAGGTTAGTTGTATGTAATTATGCATAATTAATTGTTATGATTACAGTAAGCACATGGATCTTTTCAGAGGTCGGGAATTTAGACTATTGTTATAAATTTACTATAAATGTAAACCACACTCTGAAATCTGGACGTTACTAGAACTGCTATGTTAAGCTGCTTCTACACAATCTACATTGTAAAAGTGCTAGAAAAATAAAAATGAATTAAATTAAATATTGGGCTATTAATTGCAGTAAATTGAATTATAAAAGAATTTAATCAACTCAGGCTCATTCTGAAAACGTAGCCCTGCCCTATATACATGTTCTGGAGACCACAAATTAGGTAGCCATTTACGTATGGCTGTATTTTATGTTTAAAGCGGGTAAGCAGGCAAGACAAAAACAAAAAATAAAATAAGCAAGTAAATAACAGGGTGAGAACGTGGTAAAATCTGAAAGCATGGTAAAAAAAATCAGGAGGCTTTTCTTTTTCTGGATTGCTTTTTAAAATACTGTGGTTGGGTTTAGGGAAGGGGTGGGCGGGTCAGTCAATGCCTTTTAAAATGCTATCCGTTTGTTAAGTGTGACGTCACGCGGAGCGGCTTCCGGGTCTAAGAGCTCTATTCAACTGAATGGGGAGACTCATGAAAAGGTAATAATAAACGTTCACAAAGCGATTTAATACTCTCGAAAATCACGATCGCAGTATATATGTCCATGCCTAATATCCGATTGCCAGAAAGTGATTAATTTTTTTATAAATTGTTAAAATTTTGGTATTTGTTATGCAGCAAGCCTAGAGATTGTTGTGTACACTATGACTTTATGTAAATTAATCTTAATGTGTGATATGAAGAAAAAGCGATCATAAACGAATTTCTCAACGCAAGTGAATGGTGGCTTGGACCCGGAAACAGCATATGTCACCAACATGTCATCACTTAACAAGCGGATTTGTTGTGTTTAGGGGACGCAGTGGCACAGCAGGTAGTGTTGTCGCCTCACAGCAAGAAGGTCCCTGGTTTGAGCCTCGGCTGGGTCAGTTGGCATTTGTGTGTGGAGTTTGCATGTTCTCCCCGCGTTCTCGTGGGTTTCCTCCGGGTTCTCCGGTTTCCCCCACAGCCCAAAGACATGCGGTACAGGTGAATTGGGTACTGTATTTTCTGCACTATATGGCGCACCGGATTATAAGACGCAGTCTCAATTACGGGGTCTATTTCTGTACTTAACCCATACATAAGGTGCACTGTATTCTAAGGCGCAAGCTAAAACATACAGTCTAAAAAAAAAGGTAATGGAAGCAAAACAGTTACTGTAGTTTAGTTGAACTTTATTGTGTTATTTACCAATACACTCACATTATTTTTTTTAATCAGTTTTCTCCCACAAATCCAACAATGTCCTTATCTTCTGTGTCTGAATTGAACAGCTGGGCAGTTTCGCCATCAAACATGCCGGGTTCTCTCTCATCATTGTTGGAGTCAGTCTCATTGCCGGGTGGCTGTTCAGCAATAGCCGCATTTCCACTATCGCGCCTAAAGCGAGCGAGCCAGGGCCAGTCGCGTTTCCACTGTCACTTCCGGGGCCTACTCGGGCCAAATCGGGGCTTTCTTGGGGCCTGCGGCCGGCCTTTTTCCCGCCGAATACCTTTGGCCAAAGAGGGCCAACTGGCGCGGAGTAAACAAAGAGGTGGAGTGCAGACACAGTTTTCCGATCGCACACGAGTATGCACCAAACAAAAAAACAAATAAGGGAAAGAAAACATCTAGCCTTATAGACGAGGGTCTTTTAGCTTATAATCGCTCTTATGTTTCCCTTTTAAATGTAAGGCTGTTGCATTAAATAATAAAGTAGTTTTATTGCATAAGTGACTTTTCTTTGTTGCGTCTTCCTTGATGCTTCAATAACGCATAATAATCTTTACCATATTAAAGGCACAGCAGACAGTAAAGGTTTCCGAGAGTTTTTGTCAAGTTTACAAGGTGTGTTTGTGCGCATTTAAATGCCTGCATGTGTGTGAGACTGAGCAAAAGAGCGCTCCCTCCACAGCTCTGTTAATGCCGAGCGGCTTTTTTCTTTTTATTTATTTTGGAGATTATACACAATATGAACACAACAGAAAGACATGAAACTTTACAAATTTCGTGTCATATCTTCATACAATAGCCTAAGCAAGTGGTTCTCAAACTGTGGTACGTGTACCACAAGTGGTACGCAGGCTTCCTTCTAGTGATACGCGGAGAAATGAAATATGTCATGTACATGCTACACACATTTCAAAATTTACCAAAAGTTATGCATATAATATGCTATTTATGAATATAGCCTATATTTCTGAGGTAATCTGCTACGTTGTTTTGACTGTGCAGAGTTGTAGCTGCTTTACTGGGCCTACTACGCTACTGTATTTCAATACTGCTTATTTTTGGTGGTACTTGGAGAGACAATTTTTTTCTGAGGTGGTACTTGATGAAAAAAGTTTGAGAACCACTGGCCTAAGCTATTGAAATAATTTAAAGAATTACAAATATCGGATATAATAAAATCGCAATAATATAATGAAAAACAATATAAAACTAACAAAAGCTAAACCAATTTAGGTATATACAATAGCCTGCATAAATCAAACCGTTTTAAAGCCATATTAAACTTTCATTTTACAAAGGCTTCTCTGAAAAAAAAAAGATTTTTTAAAAACAATAAACACCGAAGAAGGTTTGAAATATTATTTATTATATTATATTATATATTTGAATACGATGATAATAATCAAATCACGCAAACAGAGCATTTTCTCGGTGAGTGAAAGTAGAAAGGCGACCTTTTTTCTATCTTATTTTCTTAAATACATGAGGAGCTTTATTAGAGAAAAGCTGCTGAGCGCAACGAAACACAGGCTATATTTTATTACTTGCTCTTATGTGCTGAAATACTGAACACTTTCCTTAAATATCCTTAAAGTGCCATGAAACCCCCTCGTTTCAGCAGGGTGTTTTCACACCTCTACTGTGGAAAAAGTCAAAAAAGTGGGCGTGTCCAGCTCTGTTTAGGGCGGAGTGTCGGAGGAACTAAAGTGGGATGGTGTGGGAGTGTCCATTTGTGCACGCGCGAGTTTCAGAGTCAAAATATATATATATATATATATATATATATATATATATATATATATATATACATACATACACACACACACACACACACACACACACACACACACACACACACACACACACACACACACACACACACACACACACACACACACACACACACACACACACACACACACACACACACACACACACACACACACACACACACACACACACAGTAGAAAGTGATGGTGTTTAACCTACATGATGGACATCTGTAGTCGAATTATTTGCTGAATTATTAAATGTTGGACTTTAACTGCAGTTTGGCTCTTTCATTCAGGGAATTCATTCATGCCCCTCGCGACAAACGAGATATTTGATTCGAGGAACTGCTGCAAGAGTGTATTTTTCATGCAATGTTTGATACCGCACGGCGAATGAGAGAAAAAAAACCTCCGCATTTCCCGGAAACTTAGATGCACACGGCAGGTAGCGTCAGAAAGCCGCGTGTGTTATTCCGGTCACTAAATGCGGATAGTTAACTAGTCTGCAATAGTTAACTTAATTCGATACGAACAAACTGAATAAACAAAGAGCACTGGTCGCTCACTTACCAAATCTGTAGAGACAGGACAATCACCAGCAACTAGAGCCGCGTCTTTATTAAGAGGAGACGACAAGCGAATCCGGATCTCAGCGTTTACAGATGAGAACAGCTCTCAGGTAAACAATGTTCCACCTTAGACACGTAAGTTATTGTTGTCGAGCGTCGCGTACACTGTTAATCCACACGTGACTCTGAGCTCTCACAGAGAGAAAATAAAAACGAAACTTAACGGCAGCAAACTATAAAAGCAACACTTCACGCTTGTTTTGCCAACACAACGTGGCGTCTTTGTGGTGTAAACACGGTGACACTAATGAATATTAATGAAGTTGCACAATAGAGCGCGCTGATTGGTTTGAACCAAGCTTTACTCATGCATTAATGCAGCAGGCTGTAAGACGTAATAAGACACACTCTGGCTCAGACGTCCAGTCTGCACGCTGGAATACACGCTATTATGTCATGACCGTGACGCAGCTTCAAAAATTCGTTTCAAACCGGAAGTACGAATTTGCTTGAAATAACGCAAAAACAACCAATTTACACTTTTTAGTGAAATATATGTGTCCTAATAGTGTTTTTAGCAGTGTGGGACACATATACGACTGTCAACAGCTCAACACATGTGTTCTGGTGTTTCGTGACCCTTTAAATAAAGGGGAATCGCCTATTAAGTGTCATATTGCCTATAGCGAAAAATTAATGTTTCAAGTCTCTCCAGAGCATTTAGGCTGAATGTTTGACGGCGTCTATCTAAACGAGGACGTTATAAATTACATTTTCTTTTTTCGTTTCATTTTTTCTGTCTTTATTAACGGAGAATTTCTGTGGTTTTATATTATGAATGGGTGCGCTCACTGCGCTGGGTCCCTCCGTTAGTGGCAAGATCACTGGATTTCGATGCCAACAGTCAGTCGGCGAGTAAATGACTATGATGAATGAGAACACACAGGCCTGTGCGTATGGACATGTCATGCTGAACAGTAACGGCTCATTTGTTTGTTTCGGATGTCTTTATTTCAGGGGTGTCAAACTTAATTCCTGGAGGGCCGAAGCCCTGCACAGTTTAGTTCCAACCCTGCTCCAACACACTTACCTGTAGGTTTCAAACAAGCCTGAAGGACTCAATTAGTTTGATCAGGTGTGTTTAATTAGGGTTGGAACTAAACTGTGCAGAGCTGCGGCCCTTTTGGAACTGAGTTTGACACCTGTGCCTTATTTGAATGGTTTCGTGATGATGTGACCGTGTGCTTTATCTGCCTGATTCCTGCTGAAGTAGGCGGGTTGTGTGACTTTTGATTCGGGGGATGCTCTGGGGGCGGGGTTTGCGTGACGCACTGCGAGCTACAAGCCCGACAGTGGAAACGCAACATAATTTCGGCCTCAATGCTCAACCCCCCGGGCGTTTGGCCCGGCCCGGCTGGGGAAAATACAGTAAGCTAAATTGTTGGTAGTGTATGAGTGTGAATGAGTGTGTATGGATGTTTCCCAGAGATGGGTTGCAGCTGGAAGGACATCCGCTGCTTAAAACATGTGCTGGATAAGTTGGCGATTCATTCCGCTGTGGTGACCCCGGATTAATAAAGGGACTAAGCCGAAAACAAAATTAATGAACGAAAGGTTAGGTTCAGGGAAGGGGAAGGGTGAGGGTGGGGTTATCAGTTGGTTGGTTAGTCTAGGGCAGGGGTCACCAACATGCCCACAAGGTTCACATGAGTTGCCCGCTGGCCTTTTCTAAAAAAAGCTCACCATAGCACCACAAATGAGTAAACTGCATCTAATATTTATTTTTATAGGTATTCTTTTTAAATCACACTTGCATTGGTGTAAATTTGAAAATTACTTTAAGTTATATATTAAAAAAAAAAAATTCAGACAAATAAAGTGTTGCATATTGATATTTATCTAACTTGTTAAATCATTGTTGACAACTACTGTGAGAAATCATTAACATGATCAATGTCTTGTCTTCACTTAGATGAATATTATTAATTATTAATAATAACATATAATTAAAAGTAAATTAAGAAAAATGTGTTATTTAATAACTGGTAGCCCTTCATACTAATCGGTACCCAAGAAGTAGCTCTTAGTTTCCAAAAGGTTGGTGACCCCTGGTCTAGGGGTTTTCAAACTGGGGTCTGCGGACCCCTGGTGGGCCCCAAGAGAGTGCTAGGGGGTCCGAGAAAAACTTGGCAGAAACAAAAAAGGATTTTTATGAGATATTTTTTTCCAATCCTAAAATTATTAATGTCTATAAATTATTAATCTATATATAGTTAAATGATTTATACAAGTTTCTACTTAATTATAATGTGTTTATCCCAAAATCCTTTACGCTCTTTAAGATTTTGCATACAGTTGAATGGAGCAATTAGTGGCTGTAAGTGCAGTACAGATAATGGAAAAAATTTTAAAGAATCCTGCTCCACAAGCAGTTCATGCAAATCTGACAGATATGACAGATCTTACATTGCGTTTGGTTTTACCTGCATGTTAATGCAGGGAGTCGATAGACCTCAGTGTGTTCTTCATTAAAGAGATTTTCTTTAATGAATGCATGAAACCATCCAAGCTCAAGCATCTACAGCAGAAACATCCCAATGAGGCAGAAAAATCGACTGACTATTACAAACATCAGGAGCTGTGTTTGGCGCAGCAGGCTGGTGTTTTTCGGCAGCAAGCATTAGTCCCTGAGAGGTGTACAAATGTCCAGGTTTAACTTTTCATCTAGCAGTGCCTTATTTAGAAAAGCTCTATTGTTCAGTTCACGTAAATATTTCCTTGGTTTTTTTTTTTGTTGTTTTTACGAAATATAAAAATTGAGAATAATTTTTGGCTATAGTGAGTTGCCAGCTAATAAAATAAATAGTTTTAAAAACAATACCATTTTGCATGCCTGTGAAATATGAACTATAGTGTCTTTACGTTATAAAGAATTTTAGTTTACCTTTTTATACTTGAAATACATAAATGCCTTTAAACTTTAGGCAAAGGGGTCCCCCGCAATTAATCATCATATCTGGTGGTCCCTGAGATTAAAAAGTTTGAAAACCTCTGGGTTAGTCAGTCAGTCAACAACAGCCTCTGGTGGATTTAGGTGAGAACAGCATGTTCGAATGGCACTCGCGAGAGGAATTTAAGATCTGAAAAAAGTACACAGCAGCCTGTGTAGCCAGAAAACCCCCCCCCCCAAAAAAACAGTAGTTCCTAAAACGTATTTTACGGTCTGCAGAAATGTTTAAAGGGCTGCGTAATCAGAATGAGTCTGAGTTTAATTTAATTAAATTTAATTGATTTTGATGATCAATGGAATCTAGTGATACAACTAATAATATATTTAAAAAATTATAATATTGATTTTTTTATTATAAAAAATGGTAAACCCCGAAATAGCAATGTTGCTTCAAGTAAAAGTAAAGATAAGTATTGAAATACAGTACAATTCAAAACTTTCATTTCCTCCCCACATTCACTCGAATCTGATAAGAAGCAAAGTATCACTGTTTTTTATATATAGCTTTGTTTGAAAAATACTACACTGAAAAAAATGCACACAATCCCTTCATGTTGTCCCAACACAGTTTGATTAAGTTAACA